GGGGCTAACGAGTACGTTACTGTTTAAAAGGCTTCTGTGAGCCTACCTACAACTCAAGTCATGTCTAATTTAGAGTATACAGCAGATTTCATCATAAGTATACCTTCCTTCAAAATAATGTTGAATCAGTTCGTCTCTTATGAAAACTATTAAGGAATCAATCATTGTAAATAATTTATTATTTACATTCATTTCTGTAGGATATCGTGCAGGGAGTGACAAAAATATTACATAAGCTACAGACTTAACGTCAGGCCGTTAACGAGTTAAGTTACGTCTAGAGTAACCAACTCATTGAGAAAAACAATCTACCCGAACAAAAGTTTTTTTTTTAAACTTATTGAGGTAACAAAAATGGTATTATTTTATATACACGTCACTTTACCGATGTCAGTCTTTAACAAATGAAAGGATATTATTTCTTCCTTCAAGTGGAGTTTAGGGCAGCTGCAAAAACGAATACATATGAGAGTCAGGCACGGTGGATCGATCGAACAAGTACATGTACATGTGAAACGATCAAGGGTCAAAGTTAAAAATACTACTGCGCAATAATGACAAACAAACAAAAAACCACGGACGACGGGCGACATGGAATTCCATACTAAATGGATAGTCAAGACCACACGACAACCTGCTTGCAAGTTCGAAATTAACCATGCATGCAGTAGCCAAGCTGTGTGTGTCGTGGACTGTGCGCGCCGCCGCAAGCGCCTTTGAAGCCTTGGCTGCATCCGAATCTGTTGTCTAGAGCTAGGTCTAGGTCTCCGCTCCATAGGAAATGTGTGGAGACGCGTAGGCAGTAGACCTAGCCGTAGCTCTGGAAGCCCGTTTAGGACACGGCCGTAGTTTTCAGTGGTATATCTGAATTATTTAATATGCTAATTTAATGAATTATTCGCATTTCTCTGAACGAACGTATACCCAACGTATATATTGATAAACGCTGTATGCTCAGTGCTTGTCCGAAAGCTTGCGAAAAAATTCACAAGCTTACTCGGGTGGGACTCAAACCCACGACCCCCTGCTAACTAGTGCAGACGTCTTACCATTCGACCACCGAGCTTGCCGGGGTCGGCTGGCCGGTCCGAGTCAAGTGTAGCAGCGGGTACCAATAACTATTTCAAGTTGTATGTTACGCTGGGGAGATGTTAAGTTGTATAACGGGTTTTGCCCTTACCCAACGTATACACATGTATTGATAAACACTGTATGCTCAGTGCTTTTCTGAGAGCTTGCGAAAAAATTTCACAAGCTTACGCGGGTGGGACTCGTCTGCACTAGTAAGCAGGAGGTCGTGGTTTGAGTCCCACCCAAGTAAGCTTGTGAATTTTTTCGCAAGCTCTCGGACAAGCACTGAGCATGCAGTGTTTATCAATATATACGTTGGATAAGGGCAAAACCCGTAATATAAAGTAACATCTTCCCAGCGCAAAATACATCTTGAAATGTCTAGGCTACTTACGTTCATGAAGTCTACTTCATGAACATTTGCTGTGGTTTCAATTTGTCGATCGGATGATCCCAAGCTTCGTTGCTGCATATTTGAGGCAATTCTGAAACAGATTGTCGTCTGCCAGTGGAGCTTACGCCACTGCCGGAAAGGACGCCGTGTTGAATACGCGCGACATTGTAATGAGGAATAATTTATTACATGCCCGACAGAGGCGATTGTTTTGATTGGTGGAGACTTATGCTTAAGTATGGAATACCAAAGCAGAATTAATTCAAGACGGTTATTGAAGACCAAGAAAAAACAAAATCATCCAAGACTAATTTATTGTACTGCAGGACACAAAGAATTTTATGCAAAACAGAAAATATTCGGTCACGAAAAAAATCAAGCGAGATTTAATTTCACGCAAGATCGAAATTTTCATGTAAGAAAACATTTTAAGCAAAAATAAAATTTGCCTGCAAGATCCAAATTTTCATGTAAGACCAGAGTTTTCATGCAAGGCCTAAATTTCACGCAAGACCAAATTTTGTGTAAAAGACCAACATTTTTGTGCAAGAACAAAATTTCATGCAAAACCAAAATTTCATGTGTCATGAAGATATTCTGAGTAAGGAATCACAAGTATGTAGGGGAAGGTCGTGGTCAATTAAGGAGGAAACTGGGCTCATGAGGTCATAAAAATGAAATCTAAGGGACTGGAAGTGGTCGGGGCTGACCACACTATATCCTGGACTGACCACACTGACCTTCTGGAAGTGCACAGATATTTTCTTAGAAATTAGATGGGAATAAGAGGAGAGAGAGGGGAAGAGTGTCTTCCAGATTTTGATTTGCTATGTATCACATCTGCTAGCACTACTGTAGAAATGAATAAGGATACATGTAGAATAGCAGAGAAGCGTGATCGTGCGAGTTTGTCAGAAATACAACTGTTTCGTCGTAAAGAAGATGAAACTACATCACATCATGCAAGACTAAAATTTCATGCAAGACCAAATTGTTTTGAATAAGACTAAAATTTTTGTGCAAGATAAAAGTTTTCACACGCAAGATCATTTTTTTTTTTTTGGTGCAACCAAAATTTTCACCCGAGACCAAAATATTCGCCCAAGACCAAATATTTGTGCAACATGCACGTGAACATTTGACTGGTAACCCCTCCTGCATTAATTAAATGCGACATCGTATCGGGCACCAGTGGTTAACGAAGTGGACCTTCGTGAAATATCAGTGCAAGATGTTGAGCCCAGGATTTGCCCTATTGAGTTCTTGGGTTTCGTTACCACATGACGTTTGTTTCGGTACGTGTAAGACTTCCGTTGCAAGTAGTGCAAGAGCACTTAACAACTTGCCCCATGTACAGTGTACAGTAGCCTTCCTACAGTCTCCTTGTCACTTGCTTACCGCCCACTGTCAAAATTGTTATCCTCCAGCAAAGAAGAAACACAGCCATTTGCACTGATCTGTTAGGAAAAAGTTTCATAATGGTCAAAATTATCTCTAGTTACAGATGAGCTTTTCTTTCAAATATGAAGGGCATCTTTGGGGGTCATCGTTGCATGCATAACCCGAGCATCGTGTAGATAGAGGGTTCTGTCTGAAAATCAACGTTACCGCAGTGTGTTTTACTCGAGAAACATAGTTCTGCATAGGATAATCACAAGGTTTGCTGGAGATTAAAGCTGCCAACTCTGAAATGCTTACCGCGTTCAATGAAAAAAAAATCAAGTTCCATTGTTTTGCCTTGAGATGGCCGAAACGTACCAGAAAATAAACGGCGGTCCATATGGCTTGCTTCCTGATTTAGACACAATCCCCTCTGGAACACTTAAAAAAGTCATCTGAGTAAAATTTTATGTTCTGACTGTAACGCCTAATGGTTATCTGCGACTTTGAACACAAGTTTACTTGTTTACAAGTCTACAAGTTTGCTTGCAGTTTCATAATCGACATGCCTACCGACGCAACATTCACTGCATTCAGTTTCGCTATACGATTACTGGAGGGCCTTGGTTCCTCGGCTTGTGCGACTTCCACGGCTGCCATTCTTGCTTACACCTTTCCGGAAAATGTCGGCATGTCAATGGTGAGAACAGGGTTTATTGTAGCATAAAAAGGCAAAGTCGATAGACTTTGCTCTGAAAAGGGGACTTCCGGTCCACTACTTCCGGTCGGCAACTTTCAACCTTGTATCCAACCGACCAAGGGGTGTACCGGTTGCGACATTCTTAAGCAAAGGGTTGAAGAACACGATTTGTTGGTTTTTCTGCCCCGTACCTTCTGTTCGCAAACTGACAAACCTAAATAACATTTCAAAGGGCTTTGATCTGCTCATGTAGCTACCTATTCACATATTGGAAATACTTACGTCTCGAATTTGTTGTTCAACACTATGAAGTTGTTATGGTTAAGGACGAATTTTTTATTCTCCCTGAAATCTGCATTTTACATCTCACCTGTAGAGTTTGTTTGAAACCTGTGCTGGCGTAGCGTTTGCAGTCGGACCAGCCGCTGGTGGTTTGCTCTTTGAAGTAAGTAAAATATGCTGCAAGACAGTTTGCATGCCTAAGCTTCATATAACCTCTTTAACAGTCCACAATTTCTCAACAGCGCTGTCAGTGGGGTCAGACTGCATATGACATTGACCCACTTTTCCTACCAATTCAATGCGGGGGGGGGGGCAACCAGGGGCCACCCCCCCCCCAAAATGATGAGGATTTCTTTATTAATCAGAGTGAAGATATTGAGTGGATGTTGTTTTGTACGGACAGAGCCATTTTGTTCAGGAAATTATTTCTGGGCGAAATAATAACCCTTTGCCTTGTCCTTTAATTTTTACTAAGGCCTTTCGTTATTCCTCTGCCCCCCAAACCCATCTGGGTCTGGATCCGCCCTTGTACCAATAAAGTACATGTTCTATCCTGTGCCGTCGTAGACACAGCCTGCTCTTGTCTTACAATCGTGTACAAAACTGGACAAAACCTGTTGAGTTACATTTTTCGCACATCATATTAATTCTCCTTTGTGTCCCGTCGTAGCTTTCCAATTTTTATTTTAGGGCCTTTTTGTTTTAATGCTAATGCGATTACCATGTTCATGATCAAAAGTGTGATAAAGTCAAAGGCACAAACATCAGGGATACAGCTAGTTCTGCACCATCAGACTTTTGGATGTAAGGCTGTTGCAAATTTTGCTTTATTGCTTCATTAGTTTCTCTTTTTTAAGTTTTGGTTCGTGAGAGTAGGCTAGCAAGCAGAGTTTTCCCCAAATGGTCCAAAATAAGTGAAGAAAGTCTTCAACAGGAAAACTGTTTGTTCTTGTCATGACATCACAGCAACAGCGCCCCCATTCATCATAAAAAAGCATGAGAAATTATAAAATGTCTAAGGGTGCACTTCTTATTTAGGTAAACCCAAACAGACGTAAGGTTTCTTGCATTCTGGAGTAAAAGTTGCACAAAACGCATTCCCAAGTTAAATGCACATCAGTTGTCCACTACATATCTTCATCCACTGGACCCTGCTTGCTTCTTAATAGGCAGGTGGATTCAGGGTTCCATTCTTTGTTCTGGGAGGAGCAGTTTTGGCCACGGTCGGTGCGAGCTGTTTCTTCATGCCCGATCATGGTAAGATATCGTTTGCAATGATGTTTTTCTCTACTATTATATATATATATATATATGTGTGTGTGTATTAATTTTCTTATCAAAAGTGAGACTGTGTACGGTTCAACAAGGGCCCTACAATTGATTCTGCGGATACCTTGTAGGAGTCGACTGCTTGGCCTGCCTTTCACCGGCTGGTGAACTCGTCAGAAAGAAATCAAACATTTGTATATTGTGGTTTTGTTGAAAACAGGGAGCGAGGAGAAACAATCCGGGCCCATTGTCCAAGTCTTGAAAATACCGGCTGTCTGGGTGTGCATGTTGGCGATCTGTGCCAATTTCATCGGTTTCACGGCATTACATCCGATACTGTCAGTTCATCTCGAGACGGTATGTTGCCATGGTAACGAAAAATGCAAGTGTCGCACGAAACCTGGACTTCACCTACACTGTTTTGTTTGTTCTCGCTTGATAAGGCCTGTTTGCTGGGGGGAGTTGGAGTACCCCATACCTATGTTATGTTTCAGCGTTAGCTGCCATGAATTTTTTCTTGGACACAATTTTAGTGCTTTGAAAACTGCACTTCTGTATAAAATTGTTCACGCTTCCCTGGAGATGCGAGAGCGCTGTTGTTGTGATGTGATCCAGGGAAGAAATAGTTCAGTGCAAAGATTTTTCTGTTCAGATTGTAAATCCAGATATTTTTAATGAAAACATTTCTGAGGGATTGATGCTTACTTATGCACATAAAAAACGATGAATCAGCATAGAAAAAACAACTAGTCCAGCAAACCTACAAAAATGTCGGACTTTTTTGTGTACGAACCAATAAACCAACGTAGCATTTCAACATTTCTTCCTAGAATGACATCACTGGTTTGCTCATGGTTATGGAAATAATTATGCCCATTACGTAACAACCAAAAAGGCAGTAAACTACCCATTGAAATATTGAACAGCGGGTTTACCTGAGACAGAAAAGACAAAAAAAGTGCAATTTGAAGATCTGTATTAAAACAAATTGATTGCAGCTGCCCTTTAAATACGAGAACGGCCTATTTCAAAAATATTAAAATGCACAAATACCGGGAAATAAACGAAATGAAATGCGCACATTGCACGAAGGGGCGCTTTGTACTTTTCTTGCTGTCTTTTCGTGTGGTCCATACGACAAGTTGGTTTTGTTCCCACATTTTTCTTTGCAGTCAGAAGTTGCTTCTTTCTGGTCAGAGGGAATACGTCCATAGCTATGGTCACTTGCAAAACATACAATTGATTTTACCATGCGTGTTTTACCTGTGCTGAAAAGGAGAAGTGTTTTGGTTAATAATTTTGCCTTCATTTTACCTCTTTCTCGACAGCTTGATTTCTCGGTTCTCGGAAGAAGTTTGCTTTTCTGCTGTTTAGGCGTTTCGTACGCTGTGGGTACAGTCGTTTGGGGATACGTTGTGGACAAAAAGGTATAAAACTCCGTCCCTGTAAGAACAGTCGACGCTTCCCAGGGCTTGCCTTCAATGTCAGTGTTTATTACGCGTTAAGAATTTCCAGTGGTCAGGAGGGAATGGTGTTTGATCTGACAAATCTCCAAACTATCAGTAATTGTGAATTACTCAAAAAGCCCGAATTTTCTCAGATGCAACTAAGCAATCAAACCAAATCACACTGTTATATAAAGAACAAAGAAACAATGATTTATTGGAATGTTAGACACTTCAAGAGTGTCGATGGAGTATTATGCAGTGCATATTGATTAGATTAGGCTGGTGTTTAAGTAGGCCCACAAGATCTTATGCAATATAAATAGAATCGTTTGGGCGAGGACTTAGGCAGGCTCTGCAACAAAGGACGACTTCGTGGATGACGCAAACCGTTCTTTGAAGGTGCAAATACGCTGAGACGCGGGCCGAATATATCTCCAACGAACAGCCAGAAACAGACGAGACAACGATGGACGCAATCTGACTCCTGTCGCGTAAATAATAGTGAATAGGCAACCCATAACATTGAACTGTAGACTCAGTTCAGAAAAGTGTCTCTTCTGGGATAAGACTGAGCTCTGAAGCCTTCCTCAATTAGGCCGAACTTTCTTCAATCGATCCACAAAGGAGTCGCCATCACGGGACCTGCATTAGTTTCTGAAGTCTGGACGTATACCTCAAAATTCAAAGTCCCGTGCTACCAATCCTGCTCACGTTCATTGCAGTCGAGGTTCATAGGCCTATAGCTTCTCGTTTGTTTTTTTCGGAAATCGCTTTACTCTAGGTTTCTTGAAACTTCTTCAAATTAAGCCTATGTAATCGTACAACAAAGTAAACTAAGCCTAACAGAACGCCGGAAATTATCATTCATAATAGGTCAAACGGGGTCGCACAGATTCTTGCGTTGCAACAATAGTTTAATGTGATGTACATTAAAAAAAATTTTCCTGTTTTTCCCTTCTCTCATTCGAAAGCTAAATAGAGCCTACTCAAGCTTATCATATACTGAATGGCAAGGCATCCGTAAGGAAACATCACACCAACTTTGAATGTATCTAGCAAAGAGTTATGAAACAGAATTGCTATGATTAAAATGTTTTCTAAGCTATAAAACTCGATCGTTTCTTTGTACTGCAGTTCTACATTGAGAGAGAGAGAGAGATTTTTAAACTTCCAGCGGTCTTTTGCTTCCAAGAGGTTCTTTTAGTGTAAAGCTAAATATGATTGTTAAAGGAAACTAAATTTCAGAATAAGTGCGTCTTTGTTAACTTATAGCTATTTCCTATTCGTTTACAGAAGTGCACCAGAACTGTAATATCTTTGGGAACATTTGGAGCGGTCATCGGATTTTTCCTTCTTGGACCTTCTCCTGTCCTCAACATAACCCCGTAAGTACATATCCCTAGCAATAAACTATAATAGTTTGTTAGTCAAAGTTGAGAACAAAACACGCCGATTCCTCGATAACTCAAAAAGAGGTAGCCTATACGTTAGGCGATAGTCATCACGATCATAGGCTAAATTTTGTTATTATTTTAAACAAGTCAAAACTATTAATGATCCACGTGCCCTTACCATTTTTAGCCATTCATCACTGATCTCTCGGGGCAGCCCTGCTGGTCTAGCAAACAGTGTCAAAACGAAAGAATGGCCTGATTTCTAAGCACTAAGCCTCGATGTTCAATAAGTCCAATTGCATGTTTATTTCGACAGCACCAGGGTCTTAGTGGGTTTGGTCATACCCTTTCTGGCTTTCGCGATGGCGATGATGACCATACCACCGATGCTGGACATGATCATCTCAGCTGAGTAGGTCTTCTCACGTTGCATGGTTGAATAAAGGCACAAACAACAATCATGCAATACAATTATAGACACCAACGGCTCTCAATTTTCAAGTAAATTGCAAAGGGGACATATCAGGTTCTCGATCCGACAATCCATCGTTGTTCATAAACGACCACTTTGCAGACAAACTCAAACCTTGAAGAAAACGAACACATTGTCGTGCCGTGCAGACACACGAGTACAGTGGACTGATCGCAGCAAACGCCAATAGCCTCTTTGGAAATGACAACTTTTTTATCTTGCTTTTAACTTTAAGTCCCGAATCCTCCGATTTCAATATGATTTTTACATACACCCTATGAGAAGGGGTTACGGTTCAAGTGACCACAGCTGGAATAACTTCGCGCGAGGGGGTCTATAGTCTCAAATCAAGTATTTTTTAAAACAATATTTTGGTTGGTTAGGTCTTTGTTTTCGGCTTGCTTTAAGAAATCTTTAAGAAATCTCTGCCTTGAAGTCAATTCTCCAAGCCACTTCTTAGGTTTCCGGTTCTTTAGACGCAGAAAGGCCTCAGAAATTCTAGATTAAGTATTGATCCATCTACCAAAATCACCATCTTTTTAAATAAACGTAACCACTACTTAAGACCAATATTTTAAAAGCTAAATTTAACTTTACCCCTCACTGCACAGATGGTATGGAATACCTTATAACATGGGACTCGTCGGTATTATTTCGGGTCTTTGGAACATGGCAGTGTCAATAGGGTAAGTGTTGTGGGTAAAATGGAACTGCTGGCAGTCATTTTTTTAAACTCTTGCCACGCGACGTGGCAACTACTAGGGTAGTGCCCGTGTATTTGCTGTCGGTGCAGTTCTAGCAGCAATACCGCCTGTAGCTGTCTAACGGTAGTGGGAAATGGGTTGGTTAACTTATTTTAAGAGGTGACTGAGCGATATATCACTTTTCTGAAATTTCGGGGAGGGGGGTTGCGAACCACGTCTTAATATTTTGAGGAATTTCTTCGGAAAACTTCTCAATCTCACTTTAATGTGAATCAAGAGTGCATGAAAGCCGACTTGGGGGTGTCTGTAAAATTAAAGAGGCACCGTGGTTGAATTGTGGATGTAACACTATAATCTCACGCTTTTGAAAGCATGACGGAAACAACCTGACGGCAAACTAAAGCATTTTCAATACCCACGTGCTTTAGAATTTTGCTGAGCAAGGAAAATATAAATTGGGAAGGAATGACTACAGAAGTGTTGTGATAACAGTAAAGTGATTTGATTTGAATTGTCTTGATAGAATGATGGTCGGCCCGATGTTGGCCAGTTGGCTGACGGATTGTCTTGGATTTGGATACGCTACAACAATCATTGCATGCGGCTTTCTAGCTGTCTGGCTTGTTTTGTGTTTCTTTGGTGCCTGGGAATACCGATGCGGAAAAGGGCAAGTATATCTATTTATGGAACATATAGACCGTGTCCAAAACGGGCTTCCAGAGCTACGGCTAGATCTATTGTCTACGCGTCTCCACACATTTCCTATGGAGCGAAGACCTACACCTAGCTCTAGACAACAGATTCGGATGCCGCCATAGAGAAGGCAGTCAGTAGGTTTCTGCCGCAGTAGGGGACCACCATATTGCATGTGATGTTCAGTTTTTGGCTGGGCCATGTTATCGTGAGAGTTGACACGTAGGCCTATAGGTAACTAATTTGTACGTACAGAAGTGTACACGTTATCTTTTCCTGGTATATACATGTACACTCAACGAGATCTCTTGTGCGTTTCCAATGCTGTGCTTTTGTCCGATCAGGCTTTGCCTAATTTCTGACTCCCTGACTTCGAAGTTAGCTCAACAGTAAGTCAGATGGTGCCGCCGGAACATTGAACGACATGCAACAGAGCTAATTGCATGTCTGCAAGACTTTTATTTAATTTAAAAACTGTCGGCATAAGTATGGGGCCGGGGTCAATTTTAGTGAAGAAGCCTGAAATGGAGACGAAGCCGAGCAAATATATTGGAAATCCGCTCCATAAATACCGCTCAGCGCGACACAAGTCCCGGTGTTTAAAAAAAGCGATGATGCGGAGCCAGAAATCTTCACAATGACTACCAAGGACCAACCTTTAAGTCCAATTTCGCAAAAGGGACGTTGTGGTGTTTGGTTTAGAAAGTCCGATATTTTTGGCCCCACATAATATAGGCCTCAAAAGCGCCCGGGTGCAACGTGGAATAACACCGTCCACTAGTAATTCTAAAACAATTGGCCCAGACATCCGACCGTTACGCGTTCTGGTCGCTCGACGGTGAAGGTACATGAGGGTACACATACTGAGGAATTTGGCTTTGGTACAACGACGTCCTGGACTTATAGACCCCCTTTCCCTTTATTCACTTCATGTAGGAGGCGACCACCAATGGAAGAGCCCAAGGATGATTCCCACACGGACTTTGAGGAAATGGTACTACTGTCGAAAGCGCCTTAAATTATCCTCAGTAATCTTTCCTTTTTTCCCAGTTAACCCATTGTTCATTGATATATATTGGTTCAATGTATTTTTGATATATTGATTTTTAAATTCTTGTCTCCTGCAGGAGAGTCTACTCGAAATTTAATATAGAGCATGACCTACCAAGAAAACCTTTGTCAATATGGTTTTCGAAAAAAAGTAGCTCAGTCTTTTCTAAATATGGCTTTCGCAATAAAGTAGCTCTTTGTCGCAAATCGTTTTAGACACTCGTCCCCCCCCAAAACAAACAAAAGCCAAAAAATGACAATATTTTTATAATTATTTTATATAAAGCGTGCTTATATATACATCGAAAGTAATACACGTGTATTCATTAGTGTTTGTTACTTGAATAAAGAAATGCAGAGAAGACACGTCCGCACTGAGTCTGCGTGTACATGCAATATTCCATATTTTGCAGCCTCTTACAACGATTTTTGCATTTCAGTGTGGTTAAGGTTTTTTGGTCACATTAATTCCGGGTTTATTTAAACTCTTAATTGGAATGAAGGTGCATAATAACCCTGCAGGTTCGTTGGAATCGACATTTTAATTTGTATCTTGTCTAACATATACATTGCACTTTATTTATATATTCTTATTCTGGAGTACTGTTTAAAACAAAAACCAGTTCGTGCCAGGTTTTAAGTTCAGGGAACACTTGCACCTGTGTGTGAGTATATACATGTACACTTTACATGGCCATGGGATGGGGTTGTTATGGTTAGAGTTTTGCACTTCGTTCATGAAAGGATCGTAATGAGTATATGCAATGTTAAAAGAAATTGGCGAGCCGGAGAACTTGCAGCACTAGTAAACTCAAGTCACAGGGACATGACAGTATTTGTGTGTACGTGTACGTTATTTTACACTATTTCTTTTGGCTGGCTGTCCTAAACAAACATTTTACATGAGCGGAGAAAGGAAAGGAACATATCCACACATAGCACTGCAACTTTGTTGATGCAATTCGTACTCACACGTGATTCACACGTGATTGACTTTTGCTATAATGTGCCCCTTGTCTTTATCCCTATATTCTCATGGACGTTCCGCCGTTCTGAATTGGATCCAGTGTCATTCTGAAAAATGTCTTGTAAAACTCAGAGAAAACAACGTCATGGTATTGGTTCGTTCGATACTTTTTATATTTTGCATTTGGTATGATGTAAGAATGCTAGTAGCAAAGCCCAACGTCTAAAAAGGGACAAGAATTACGCGTATGTGAAATAGAGATGTAGTCATTATTTGTTTCGTCTTGCAGAAAGACTCTGCGGAGGTCAAAACTTCATGCTCTCTTATTAATTTTTTCCCGATTTGTACTTCAGGTTATCGTAGGCAGCAGCAGTTTGCACCAATTTTTTGGCGTTTACTTTATTTTACTCAAAAATTTAAGGCAAATACCCCGTGCCACCAAACCGAATCGTGAATAAATCCCCGCGAGCTTAAAAATTGATGAATAAAACGACGAACGATCCATTTGGACAGAATGGAACATTCCATTTTTGCGACGCAGCCGCAAGATGAGTCGGTCCAACAATTTCAAGACATAGGACCCACCAATAATAGGAACGGATATATTCTAGTGTCACATAATCTCACACGTTTCTGCAAAATTATGCAAATACTTAGGACCGAAAGTTCTCATTTTGGACACAGCGCATGCAGTGCGATAGCTTTATAATTTCCCTTCGCTCACAACACAGTGGCGGCGCCAGACCTCGGTGGCTGTGGGTGCAAGTGTGGGGCTAGACAGAATCGCGCGGGCAAAGGACCCTTCATTTCTCCTGGGTTATATGATGCGGTGTCATCAACGCAAGGTTGATCACCCTGTCGTAACATGTGAAAAAGTTTTTATGGGTGCAACCGTGGGTGCAAGCGGCTTTTCAGTGGGTGCATTTGCACCCCTATGACACCACATAGCGCCCCCACTGCTACATCTTATTATTCTTTCAAATACGCTATGGCGTAGTGCAATATCCCTGTACAACATCTCCTGTCGTTCTCAAAGTATCCCTGGATCAGGTGGGAGCTATGGAAGGCTATATCTCTCACTATAAGCTTGGAGAAAAAGAAAGGTGTTACCTGCAATGGCTACAAAAATGTGGAAACTGTAGAGGCAGCCACCCTTTCACTGCCTGTGATGTATGTTTCATAAGCTGCTTGGAGAGAAAAGATTAGCTTTCGGTCATTGCCAATTTGTCAGGAGATCCTCTGAGCTCATTAAAAAGGGGTGATGCAATGGATGTGAGAGAGTCACAGTCTTTCAGTACATTAGAGCCCCCAAAAGCGGCTCCTCCTTTCAAACAGATGCCAGCCCTGACAGGTTAGGAATACTGCTAAGCCAAGTGATGTCCCTTTAATACGTCACAGTCAGACAAACCCATAGCCCTGGCTTCAAGAAACTTTCTTCCCAGTGAGCAAGTCTGTTCTCAGTCTGATAAGGGTCCTTCAATAATCTTTAGATTAAAGGAATTTCAACTATATCTCCATGGCAATAGGTTAATGTCTGGTGTAAAACCTGCCAGCCCAATGTCGTCTTCTAGAATAGCATGATGGCGTATGTTTTCAGGGTCTGATTAGAACGTCATATACAAGGCAAGTGTAACCTGCAAAAATGGAACACTAGAAGAAGACAACTCTGGGGGGAAATCGCTTGCACAAAATACAGAACCGGGTAATAAGAAAATAACGACCCCCAAAAAACCAAACCAAACACAGTATCAAGAAAAGGCACAAATCAATTACAATCAAACTTCAACAACCAAGTCCACTGCAGGTTCTACACATCTTCAGAGGAGACTTTATGTACATGTGCACTCCTTGGCTGCTGACCTGCTTACTGAACAAAGACCCTAAGCATGCTTGGTCATAGAGCTGCATGCCTCTTAAACAAACACTTTACACAGGGGTACACACAATGCAGGTTTTTGCTGGGTAAACTGGGGGGTACCACTTCTATATAGCTACGTGGACTAACAAAAAAAAAGATTAAATTCACCTCTATTACACTAGCAACATTCCAATGCAGACACTTTGTCACAATTCCAAAGAATGCCACCAATGAAAAGCGTACTGGATCCAAGATCACACGGAAGAGTCAGATAAAAAGTCCCAACATGAATAGATGTCTTTAATTAGGTTCCACTGTTTTAAGGAAGATTGTTCTTCGTCACCTTGCTTCCTTTGTTGCAAGCTTTGGACCTAGACATACCCTCAGAATGCACTCACAAAAAATCATCTGAATATTGAATTTGTAAGCGTAGTAAACAGTGCTGAATATGAGACACAACTGCTTGGGGACTAACGGAGCAGATAGGACAGCATCTCAGGGGTAACACAACATCTCCTGTCATGGACAACTGCATGCAGACCACAAGCCTATTTTGGTCCAATAGAATGAGAGGTTTTGGCCTCATTTCCTGGCTGAAATTTGCAGATTGCTTGAGGTCTATAATCTATGGATGGGAATAGGACCCAGCGAAGCTTAGTTGGTGAAACTTTGATTGTCCTATTGTGCATTCACTGCTTCTAAAATGTAAAAAATACACTTTCATTAGCAAAGTGGGGGTGCCGTCAAATTAAACACCTTTGCTGCTAAGCCACAGAGAACCATTCACAAAAGTGCATGTCAAAGGGAAATACATGAATCATTGTTATCTATTTGACAGCTTCCAAGTCTGGAATGTTCCGCTTCCGAATTGCACTGTCTATTTCTCTCAGGATACAATCGTACTGGTACCCCTGTAGATGGCTGGTACCCGGGACTGGATTCCCCATGAGGAAATCAAAATCCATCCACGTTCCTGACGAAGATCGAAACTGACCCTTGCTGTTGACCTAGCACAACCAAAACAAATTCAGATGTCTAAAACACTTTGCAAGAACCAAAATCTAACTAAATATCATTACTCAAGAAATCTATTACATCAAGGTGAGTGATTCTGCATGGTGGATGTAGGATCCTTAAACTGTTACAGTAAATTGAATACACAGATAAAGTCACGAGAGTAAACCAAAATTCACGACATGTAGAAAAAAAGAGTCCCTTTTCCTGTTTTCAGTTTGAGAGCCTGTGAAATTTTACAGATTATTGCCTGGTGAGTGGTTATCAATAACCAGTGTGTCTGACACACTTTTCTGGCATACACATATGGTCAAATTTACCTCTAAAAGATTCTCTACCGTGATGCTATTTTCCCCCGGCAGTAAGGTTCTTGCAATAGGTTCATTCTTCAATCTCTGTATGCCTGTTGGTTCAAATGAGATTAACGACATGATAAAAGGAATTCCTACTAGCTCACATTATCTCATGCTGGTGGAAAGATGCTATGCTTTTTCAAGCTCAAATGCTCTTGTGAATGCTGTGATTTTTTTAATGAAAAAGTAGTTCTTTGTGGTGTTAAATTTTGATAGCATTAGGAGGGTTTCCCCAAAGGATGCCAAGAGATCAGGTAGACAGTTTTGCCAAAAAAACTCCACCTTTTGGTTGATACTCGTCCAATGTACAATGCCTACATACATGTATACAGAGCACTGTTTATGTGCGGTTCGACACTGAATCAATTGACGTTATACACAAGTCAGCCGTATGAAATTGAAAGCAAGGTTAACTTTATATTTTGGGAACCCAACAAAAAAATGAAAGCAATGAAAATATTTATTTCACATTAATTTAATTTACAGTGGTGAATAATTTAAAATGTGATTGGTTATATCTAAATGTCTCGAGCAACATAAAAAAAAAATGAAAAAGAGGCATGGAACCGAAAATAATCGGGCACCACCCAATTTGATACATTCCACTGAATAACATATTTACAGGGAACATGATCAGAAATGGCTTCCTTATGAAAAAGATCTATTCCCATGCTCAAGACAAGACACAGGGGTGCCACAAAAGCTGTCCTGACCAGGAAAGTTGAGAAACGGTTTTCCCAGCTCCTTCCTCTGTTTGGCCTCCTTGAGCGTCAGGCTGAATTGCCTGAGCTTCTTGGCCACGCACTGCCAGTAGGCCCTGCTGAAGTGGACCCTTTGGAGACTGACTTCGCTGGTCTGGGTAGACACCGCCATAAAATCACACCACGGAGCCTCACAGATAGCCATCTGGCCCTGGATCTAATGTAAAAAAAAACACAATGTGACATTTTTTGACAAGGCAGTCGCGAGATTTGAGGACACAGTGTGCAATACTCAGTCAGAATATTTCAATGATTTATCGCACCAAACGTCCCCATAATATCCTTGCTTGTCGATATTTCCGTTAAATCATGGTAATGTAGTCTTCTCCTTTCCCTTCTATTTTTCCACTTGTTTTCAAACCAATCAAAATTTCCATGGATATGTTAGGCCTTAGTCAATTGCATATCTTCACTGTAATCATTAATTTTTATATCTAAAAAAACCATCCTCAATATGCTTTACACAAAAATACCCAAATCCAGACAAATCTAACCCCTGTCAAAGGTTTGCACAGCAGTAGCACCATGCGAAATGCTTATGAACCGATGGGCTTCCAAAGGGAACCGGCATACTCAATGTTTTGGAAAGTATGCCGCATCTGTTGTCAGGTAACAGAAAACGTTGAGTATTCTGGTTCACTTGAGAACCCCACTCACTACCGAAAGACAACTTACACGGTGCAACTGCAAACCTTGACAGTGTTCCTATCTCCATGGTTACATCCATCAAGCAAACCTAAAAGTAATCAATGTGACAATGTGCTTTTCAAAGCTCCCTTTCAAAATGATATGAAATCCAGGTAAGTGCAAATTTAGACAAATGTTCGAGTCTGGAATGCTTTTAAGCCCTTGCTCAACAGGGAACTTGACTCTTAATTTCAGGTGGTAAACAGCTGCTGCCAGTTTGTGCACATTCAGTTGAAAATTGGTGGAGCACTTTGTGTGTCACATACATGTACATTCAAACTACTGCACAAAGGCAATTTGTTCTTCGTTGACTCTGGAGTAAGGTGAGAATTACCTACAGTTCCCGCACGAAGTACACAGGGAGAATGTCACACTGTAAGTACTTCCTCAGTTTGGAAGTTGTCTACTGTCCTTTTGCAAGGGCACGAACTGATGAATTTTGCCAACCAGGATTTATAAGTACAAGCTTGCAATATAACTCGGGAAAGGAAAGAAAACAACAGTTGGTAGGGCTGTGCTGAATATCCAATTATTTGATCCATTATCAAATATTCGAATGTTATTTTCTGAATTTGAATATTTGAATGCAAACTTCATAAAAAGGGAGAATTTCTGTTGTTTTAAATGAGAAAAACCGAACTATGGAGGTTTGTTTCAGGCAGATTAAATTGAAAAGCGACAGAATAATATATCCTACAATGATTAAAAAAGTAAATTATTCATTAAAAGACTTAAAAGGAATGAAAAACTTAAAAGGAATAAAATGCCAACAGGGCAAGAAGTATTGTTCCTCTATAAAATGTCTTTAAATCGTGACTGGAGATAATCCTAGAATCGAGAAGCTATTATAGTGATCATAATGTACAAGTGTGTGCGTTATTGCAACTGATTTTGCATGTGGATTGTTCATCAATGATCCGCCAGTCAGTACGACTGAATATGCAGGTATTTGATCGAATTGAAGGTTGAACATTTGAATTGTGCATTATTCCAATTAACTCAGCCCTAATGATTGGGTTTTACTGAATTAGCGCTGACCTGAGCCATGTAGTGTCTAGGGATGCCGTGGGGATGCTTGGAGCAGTCATACAACTGGAAGAATGGGGCTTTGTATTCGACTAGCCCTATGAGCTTCTTGGGCTCGCTGGCTGACAAAATCTGGTAAGGAGTTATCAAAAATTGGGACAAATGTGATGGTTTAATTGATTCACAAGAGCTCTACTTACATATAGTCATATGACTGACACTCGACCAAAGGCTGCTCAAACATTCCCAACTTAATTCATGTCCAACTCCTGAATTTGTTGGATGTTATAAGTTCAAGAAGATAAAGGGCTTGTTACCCCTTTTTCTAAAGATGTGCCCCCATTTTGAAAGTATGTGCCATGTAGAATTCAGTTTAATACTAGGTGAGCTCCTCGAAGGCCTGATGTCACCACATGTCCGGTTAAAAAGTTGTAAAATATTAAATTTGTGGGAAGATAAATCAAGCATACAACAGACGGGCCAGGCTGCAGTGACCACTATGTCCTCAATGGTTATAACATCACATTGAAGGCTCCTTTCTGTATGGTCTTGCAAGCCTTGTTATCAAGTGTACATGCTTTTCCATGGAAATGTAAATATACCCTAGCGCAATTTGGCAATAAGAATCAGAAGCCATTTGAAACTATTAATGTGGTGGTAAAATGCCTGTGGACAGGTGGTACGAGCCCGTTACATGCCTCTTCCACCAATAGGGTGTCGTGAATTGCCAAATGCATATCACATGCATGTCCGTGCAGTACCACTGCAGTTATGGCATCTTCTCTGACTTGTCCAAAGGTCCTAAGGTCCTGTTCATATATTTGCCACTGGCAAATCTAGGCTATACAGGAAGACAAAGGGACACCGGTAGCCATAACCTTGCATATTTATTGTATTCCCGTATTTTGATAAATCTGGATTCGTCCTTGATGTCTGCGCATGTTAAATACACTTTGTATTGACTTTTACATGGATATTGATATGAGTTTAGCCTTACATGTATATCAATCGAAATCCATATTAAATTTTAAGTGAGCAGCCGTGAACAAATCGTTTAGCTTTTGCTTAAAGCAACATCATCCTTCTTTGGGGAGTGGCTACCAATAGAGACACTGGCTCCCAATGATGCCATGTTGTTTCCAGCAGCAACTGTAACACTAAACACCAAAAAAAGCATTCAAACAATTACACATACTTTGCCATCAGGTGTGGCACCACAGAGGCTGTGCAGTATGCTGCCCTCTTGTGGCTGCCAGAAGCCAGCTGCATGTGTCTCGTTCCCGGTCAGGAGCTGATATGCCTCGTCTATGATTGGCTCCATACGTCTTCCATGTTTTGTGTACTCGCTTTCTTTATTTTCCTGGAAGGGAACAAACATAGAATGCCACGAGAAGTGAGGTCCTTTGCACGGTCCAGATAAGTGAGGTCCATAGAATTAACCCCTTCGCGAGGGATGACGGTAAAAGCCGCCGTAAAAATTGAGATCCTCAGCCCGCTTTTCAGCTATTATTCTCGGCCCACGCTCGAGCGAACACGGTGAAAGAAGGCAGACCCTGGCTCTTGTATATATGGTGATTGGCCTTTGTGTGTTGCCCAGAAATGAAAAGACCGAATTTGCATCATAATCACCAGCTTCACAATAGTCCCCACTTTGAAAAGAGGCTACAGGAATGTGGAAGCGTGAGTAGAGCCGAAAGCCACCGAACAATGAGCATTTTCACTGTGTTAATTCAAAGCATGCAGAGCACGCAGGGCCACAAACCGAGAATTTGCAGTTTGGCAGGTGGCCTTCGTGGCTAAGCGAGACTGGACTTCTCAGAGTCGGCTTTCAGAAAAAAGTTCCCGTCATCAAGGGATTAAGGTCCACAGTCCACAGTGATGACACACTGTGCAGTTGTGAGCAACTCTGAAAGCTAACAGAATTGATTATTACAAGACCAGACACTGGAGTCATATGTATTGCATGTGAAAGGAGCTTTACGTACTGTAAAGAAAGCAGAGGATAAGGGAAACTGGGCGAGGAAGAGAGATAATGGCATAAATGGGACGAGTTGGAGGAGAACACGTGGAAGGGTCAGGGGCGTAGTGAAGTTGAGGTAAGGGAAAATGTGTTGTTCACACAGGCTCTGAATTCATAGAGAAACTGGTGCTAAGCAAAAAATGAGCAAAGTACAGTGTGCAAGTCAAGAGTAATAAGCCAATTCCAAGAAACTAGCACCAGGGCAGACAGAATACTTAGACAAGAGGTCTCCCAGGGATGCAGACACTGCCACTTACCCACCACCTACCTGAGAGCAGGCGTCGTCCGAGAGCAGGGACAAAAAGAAGTCATATGGTCTTCCTTGTCCCACACCGACAGCATCCCCGAACTTGGAGGCCGTCAGCTGAACTCGTTGCCTCAGCTCCTGCCACTCTGCACTTCTCTGAGAAACTAAAGTCTCGAGCATCGTCTCATTCATCTGCTGGATACTTCACAGCGGCAAATAGCCGACTACTGACAGTCCAAAGTATTCAACCTATGGTTGTTGGCATCTATGGACCAAATAAGTAAGAAAACAGAGTTTGTGTTATCAAGACTGGTGAGGTCCTTTCACAGAGCTGCACTTTAGGGAATGGTATAAACATTGATTGTTCCATAAAGTATGGATGGAAAATATACTGCCTTGCATTTCCAAACTTGCTTCTGAGATGTTAACACTGTGTATAATTGTAAACATACTTTTAGAAACTTCAAACTGCTTTCAAGTACACTCCTACAAAGCAGTTTTGCCTTAAATATGGGAAATTCCAAAAATCTGGGGTCCATTTTTTTGTGCCCCTGTCACATCTGATATGATTTTGTAAGTTCAGAACACATTTTTAAATTTAATTTCCAAGAGTGATGAATTAATGCATATTACTTGCCAAACAAATAGTAATAGATTGAAATCAATTCTGGTGATATTTCCATGTCAAATAATAAAGGTCAGTTATAACAGGGACACAAAAATGTCACACTTTGGACCCCTAATTTCTGGAATTACCCATAAACATGAGACTGTCAATAGCTGTGTAAAAAAAACCAAAACAAATCCTGCCTCTATTACAAGAGCATGCTACGTGTACTTTCAATTTTTTATACAGCCACAACTTTTAAAAAAAGTTTTTACGTTTCCATTATTTTACATTTATTTCAATGCTGCCACAGTTCATCAAGGGTAATATACAATGATACAGTCACGGTGACATATCATGTACAATGTATAGAGATATATTGACAGTCAATATAAACTGAACATTATACTACTGACAACATCTGGATCTGGAGTAAAGCAACTGCTTTTCTTCTCCAGCCTACAGAAAGACAAACAGACGAGAGACACACATGAAGACAAAGCACATAGAGACATGTAAGACAGTAATCGAAGCCGACATCCCTATTACAATGTTTAGTATGCAATTAGACAGTAACGTTTAAGTTTTCTCGTAAAACTATGAAGAGTGGGTGATGATTTAAGAGAATCATCCAGACTCTTCTAATATGTAATACCACACTGGATAACACTGTTCTAGGACAAAAAAGTTCTACAAAAGCTAACAAAGTTTGTGACCAGTTGTACTACGAGTATTATAGGAATGAATATTTGAGATTAATGTAAAACACGAATTGAAACAGGTAATGCATGATTTGTATATTTATACATAAATTTGCCTAAGTTGAAATATACAAGTCAATGAGTTTTAATAGTTTCAAATGAGCAAATATGGGTCCAGTGTGTTCAAGAAACCCAATTTTTGTAATTACCCTTACTGCATATTTCTGCAGAGTGAGCAGTCTATTGCATTTATGAATAGGACTCAGTATATACTGAAATTCAAATACTAAAATTAAATACTAATATTAAAATCAAATTAAATTATATTAAAATAAAAGTTATAAGAGACAAGTATGAGTACTATGCTAATGGGTATAATACCAATATTTTTAGATGTTTTAGCTGTTATGTCACCAATTATACATGTATATGCTTTTACCAAGTTAGATTTTCATCAATATGGTGTTCCCCAAAATACGGTGTGCTTTACCCGCACAAGAGTGGTATCTAGGGTAAAGACTGAGTATTTTGTACTGGCTAGGACAAAATATGATACACATGTAATTTGAATTAAGTACATTTATGCATAATTATTGGCCAATAGCCAAGAAATGATTTTAGGTTACCACAAAATGCTTGCATGTCATATGTATGTTTATCGGTCAATCTGCTTGACTGGTTGATTTCAACGTGTTCGACCACAAGCACTGATATATAGATGTATTTGTGGTGCGCCCGACCATGGAAGATTATTCCTCCATGGCCGGACAGACTTAGTACAGTCAGTAAGCATGCCTCAAGTTAAAGCTCTAGCACCTGACCTCAGCCCCAAGCATTAAGTATGTAAAGTATCATCGTCGTCATGGTTTAGACCATGCATAAATGAGTGAGGGAGCAATTCATTTGACATTTCATTTTCTAAACAGGGAATTGTGATTAAACCTTTTCTTCTCCTGCACACTGTAGCTCCTCTAGTTTCTATTTAATTTCTTGTTTCAAAAGTTTGGAATTCCGAGTGAAGCTGGCATTTAATTCAATGAAAGAAGGTGCAACTATGAAAGAATGATTCAAATCTCAACAAAGATTATATGAAAATATGGATATTAAGCTTTTCCATCAAAATTCACAATCATATTTGCATATGACAATTGACATAGGCCTATGTAGTTTATGTACAAAATACATGTACATGTATATCAGTAAACTTGCTCTGCAGTATACATTACAGTGAAACACCGCTAAACATCTCAAAACAACCCCAAAACTGCTGGTTTGTCATCCGCTCTGCTTCTGATCCCTGCTTCAAATAAATTTTTCTTTGCTTTGCTTGAGTCCAATGGAATGGAATCCAAATCAAGTCCAACCATCATGATCAGTATCATCATACCCCCAATTCCAAGATCATTTCAAAACAAAACAGAAAAAAAAAGGTGAAAATTTTAATAACCTCCCTATCTTGATTGTTCACAGTCTGGTGGTTACGCCAAAGTATTTTGTTAAAACAAGTTCTACTAACATGAACATGACCAATGCGCGTGAGAACTTGAAGTTGGCGGGCACTGCACGAAAGCACCATCGATGCACGTCTGCAATGTAACCGTCGGCAGCACCATACTACTTCCTGGTTAAGCACGTGGTTCAAAGGTCACCTACTAGAGGTCACCGCCCAGCAAGCTTCTCTCGATGGAGTTCGCTAGCTGGAGACCGAAAGCTCGCAATGAACCGCTACTAAAAGTGTTAATTTTGCAATCGTTTTCAATGAATTTTGACCTTGAACACACATACGATGATTGTTGTTAGCCGTGTCGTCCACAGCATGATTTTAGACGATTAGATAGTGGTAAATTAGTGGCCCTTTGTATGGATCAAATCTCGTCCGCCGCTGCTTCGATCGTGGGATACACATCCGGGAAATTTGTGACTTTCCCAAAATGGCGGCTTCGGAAGGGGGTGGAAGGGACGAAGTCAAAACCCAGTTTGGGACTCGCGAGGGCACATATAAACTGATGACGCTGTCCGAATATTCCTGGCCGTCAAGAGCTCCATACAACGTCCAGTGCTGCCATCCCGTCAGGGTGTCATTTACCAGCGTGGAAGATGGATCCGGTTGTAATGACAAGATCTGTTTCAATGTGGGCCGAGAACTGTATTTTTACCCGTACAAAGGTGTGCGGAAGGTGAGTTGTGACTGCCCAGCAAGCACGCCCACGGCCCAGTCATGCTACTCTTGTGGTTCGTTACAATTAGCACCCTGTTCCTATAATAAGGAAACAAAGTTCACTTTCTCAAACTAAATAACATTTTGACCTTAAGGAACCATTACTGAATCCTGATACTAGGCTAGGGCCTAGGCGTAGTTTAGGTAGATTTTGACAATATTTAAGGAAGAAAACTTCAAATTTCTAACACGAGTTTGGCAAAAGACAACCACTCAGTCGAATTACACCATTTTGTTTTTCGTCCGGTTACCCGACTTGGGCTTTTCGGATTCATCAAAGCAAATCTCCATCCAGGTCAAGGCACCAGACTACATTCATTTATTTGTCGTTCACAGCTACCTTCGGGGTGGTCATGTACGCTGCCGTTTTACCCAAACATTTCCCTCAAAAACCAAAAGCCCTGTTCTCTTTTCTTTCTGATATGTAAGAGGACATCACCAACAACTTGTTCAGATAAGTTACACGTACTTCGAAAAAGTAGAATTTGTTCCAAGTTATAGGCCCTAATAGGAACGGGGTGCTAAAGGTAATGAACCCCCTAGCGTAGGGGCAGGTTGTGTTTTTTAGTTAGTGTGTAATGGTTTAAATTGGTTTTTAAGTAATGCCCATTGAAAATATGAAGAATCATCATGACTCATGAGCATGATTGGCCCACTAGCTCGCTAGAGATTGAAACATCCTAAAAGTCACAACCAGCATGACCAGTAGCCTACCGGACATGCCGGTAGGCATGTCCGGTAGGCTACTGGTAGGCTACATGTCCGGCAGGTAGGCATGGTAGGCCTAGCTAGGACCTAGGCTACATCATTCATAGGGCCTAAGCCAACTTGACATGGTGGAATTGTGTCCTCTGCTGTGGTAGTGGCATACCATTACAATGGCCAGATCATCACTTAGCATGGTAAGTGCCAAATATTAGGGCCAGATCATTGTTTATTGTCTGGGCCGTACATGTAGGCCTCAATGGGCTGTGAACTGGCATGACTGGTCTCCAGTTGGCAAACTAATGGCACAGCAATGAACAGATACGTGTAGATACGTACATGTATGCAGTGAGCCAGTGATTGAGAAATTTGCACGTGGATTAGTCTTGGGCCTAATCTTGTTCCACTGTTAACCTTTTTATTGTACATCATGTGATGAAATGTTTTAAATGAGGTTGGATTTAGACCTTTAACCCACCTGTGCTAAGATGCATTCTTGATGCAGTTGTCATATCAGTCAAAATCAGTCAAATTTCCCATACGTGTCTGTGTACGGGGGAAATCAATTGGAAGATATTTTTGACTGTTTTTGACGATTAAAACAGTAGGAGGGTTAATTCCCATTAAAAATGGGAACATTTAAATGAGGCAGTAAAACTTCACCAGGGTAGCATACCATTTTGGCTGGGCAGTCCATCCTATTTAAAGCCCTCGTGGAAAACATTGTACTTTGGGAAAAAAATGAAACAATTCAAACATCCTGCGATTAAATGTAGGTTTTGATTTAAAACAGTGTTAACCCAAACCATCCTCAATCCTCCAAAATCCTCTGAATGGGTTTGGCGGATCTATGCTGAACGGTAAAAAGGTGTGGCCGATTGCAAAGGATGCATTGCGTAAAGCCTTGGGTTAGACCGTGTGTTGTTTGTGGTGCATATTATACGTGAAATCATCCATATTCCATGCTGCACACGGATATCAGTTGCACTGCCTCAACACAATGAGAGGAAGGATCAAAACAGACCTCTAAGGAACATGTGCGTATTCAAGAAATAACATATTTTGGAAGACTGCTCAAGGCTGTATTCAGATTTTGCATGGAAGAGGTTGGACAGTTTTTAAGGACTGAAGATGCATCCTAATGAAAAGAGCCGGAAAGAGTTCCATATAAGGACACCAGTACTTACATCCGTACAGTGACCTGTTGTCAGAAAGCGAAAACATGTCCAGAAAAGTTTAATTTAGGAGGGAAAAATACCAAGTCATTTGCTTAGTAAACACTTAGAATTTTTCAGACTAGTCTCAGGGTTTGTGCACGGGTTGTCAAGCGGGGTCTGTATATGGAACTCTTTCCAAAGTGCCTAGGGGTTTTAGGATGAAGTGATTTTATTTTTTGGGTAGAAAAACTTTATGCTATTGAGCATCACCTGAGTGTTGTGAAGGCTGTGACAACTACCGGTACATATTTACTCACCAAGCACCACCATCACTCGGTGGAAACAAACTACCGGTAATACAATGTAGATCTGATATGTTGTCTGTCATCGTACTTTTAAATTTATTTTCAAGGGCATTATCTAATGTGGCTTTATGGCCAGCTTCAGGGTGAGAAAATTGCTGAACCTGTCTACACCAAAATGTGCACCACATCTCGATTATTACCCAGCATGCTTAGTCATATTCAGCCAGCCAATAGGTACACATGTATACAGTATGTACATGTACCTGCTGTTGGCATGATGTTTAACCAGCCAAGTGCTACATGTGTGCCTTCATCCAGCCTACATGTATCTGCCCTGAGTAGGATTGCACACTCACCAGCAAAGACGAGAGGGGTATACATCTTGGTGGGAAGTTTTTCAAGCAGGCTCCTGCGCGTACAGATACATGTACATGTACCGTACCGGATGCACAGTGTGCAAAGGCTTTACTCTCAAACACAAGTGCTTCTGATGTCTGGGTTGTATATAAGGCCTTCCAGTTGCGGAACAGTGTACTTATGATACAGAGCAACGTAATAGCAGTGGAGCTGTCTGAAAAGCTTTGGGGATTCCAATCAGCATGAGGGTTAATGTTCAGCGTACATGAACCTGTGTGGGCATATGATGAATCCCTGCCAAAGGAATGCCATTGCTACCAACAACAAGCCCCTCTTTTGATCTATCTCACAGCCAATATTACAGTTTGATGTACATTTTAACAGAATAGAAAATCATTACACTTTTTGCACAATTGTGATACATTCTCCTCACAGGATTTTGTCTGGAAAAGAGGCCAAAACATGGGCAAAAAGTATAACTGAAGTTGTGCAAGCAGAATGTTAGAGCCCTCATGTTTTAATCTCACTTGTGTCTCCCTTTTGATCACTCATCTGTGGCCATCAATTCCCCTCACTCCACACCTCCGTACATACACTGTACATTGAACAACCCGAGCGCCTTTCTGTTTGCATTATGATCACTCGTCTGTGCCGTCACTTCAGTGAGTTCACACCAGACACATTTAATGCTCTGTGCCCTTGGTGGATTTTTTGATGAGACAAGTTTATTCCAATTTTTGGTTCGCTCTAAATGGTCCCTCCCCCTTCTAATTGGCACCCGCAATGCCCTTTGAAAATTTGTGTGAGTGGAATTGATGTTCCACCTCTGCCCATTCTTGTTTTAAAAAAAAAAAGGAAACCAGAAATTGTAGCCCTGCTGCTTGAGGTACCCTTCTGTCTGTCCTGTGGCTTGTCCATATTTTAAACCCATATTTAAGTTTTGTAGGAACTGTCTCAAATCATGCACATTCATGTGTATACATGTATGTGTATTGTCATACGTGTACCCTGTACGTTTACATGTACATCATATTTAAAGGTACAGTCCATCATTTGCAGCTAGCTGATGAAATTATTGTTGAAATGCATATACATGTACTTGGTTTAGTTATGAGACAAAACTCCTCTATGAAGTTCTTTCTGGCAAGCTGTAATTTTGAAGAAAATGATCGAAGAAGGCCATTGTCAGTGATGTGTCTAAAGATGCATTTTTGGAAATTGCTGTTGTTTCTTGTTAATTTGGTGAAGAACTGGCAAGTGTGGACGCAGCCTACGTGCGCATGCAGTTACTGTAATTCGTCGGTTCAGTGTGTGATATCGTGTAGCTACAGTTGGCATGGCTGGCCGAACAAGAACCTGTCACAAACGCTGAATTTCGGCGCAATTCAAAACATGACTTGGCAACTTGTTATTTACAATCAAGTTCCTAGAGTATTGTTTATTTCACAATATACGGTATAATGGTACAGCATTCGCAGAGCTGAAACAGCATCCGGCTATGGAAGTTTTTGAGTGCCCTCATTTAGACTTTGGGAATTTTTGTTACCTCAGCAGACTTGATGCACAAATGAGAAACGATGTACTGGTGCTCTACCTTTAACATGTTTAATGTAATCCTTTTGGACCTTCACCTTCCCTAGTCCTTCAGAAAACTTTTTCAGGAGGTTCAGATGGTTTTTATGGATTTCAGAAATATACAGAGCCTCAGACCTGTTGCTTGGTCTTATAAAAATAAAAAGAAAATTTGAGAGTGTAAGAGAAAAATGCATCTTGTTTTTTGTTTGTTTTTTCGTGCAGCATGAAAATTTTATGCCAAAGTAGACATTTGGTGACAATCTATTGTCACATGCAGTAATACCACCCTGTCGCAGTAGTGAACAGTCAATCTTGACTAAACCTGGGACATACCGGGACATGTACTGGTGTATAAATGTCAGACATCTACATGTACATGTACCCGTCAAGTCATCGTGTTGACTTCTCAAGACAATGAGTTGAAGCATTTATCAAGTCCTGAATTCTTTCAAAAGTGGCCTCTGTGTTATCAGAAATTACTGCCCAGTTGACGTGAAGATAAAAAATGACTGCACGGTGGATAAGTTTGGCTGAAAAAGACAATACTAATTTGAAAAAGGCAAGATAAATTTATGTAAATCGGCCCAGTTTGAGAATGACATGAAACGCTACCCAAAAGTGAGCCTGTGTTGAGTAGCCAATTTCAACGCACAGTCTACTCACCACACTTGTACGTACTGGGTTACCGTACCGGACCTCCTGAGACTTGCATATCCAAAAACGAATGGGGAATGTGACTTTTCAACACATCACCTGCCCCTATTAATATGCACTGCTAAATCAGGTTGACACGTTTACATTTCCACCGATATTAACTGGAATCATACCTCTTCAACCAAGAGGATGTTGTAACTTACTAA